GTGGGCGGCGGCCCCGCGGGCTGCCAGGCGCTCGGCGCGAGCCCGCTGAAGAAGCCCCGGCGGCACTTGGAGGAGCAGCCGGCCGGGGCGGCGGCCGAGGAGGAGGAGGAGATGGAGACCGGTAACGTGGCCAACCTCATTAGCATCTTCGGTTCCAGCTTCTCGGGACTCTTACGGAAAAGCCCCGGGGGCGGCCGGGAGGAAGCCGAGGGAGAGGAGAGCGGCCCGGAAGCCGCCGAGCCCGGGCAGATCTGCTGCGACAAGGCGGTGCTGAGAGACATGAACCCGTGGAGCACAGCCATCGTGGCCTTCTGAGCCCAGGGGCCCCGTGCGGGAAGCAGGTTGAGCAGCGGGCGACTCCGACGTGAGGGCTGGGCCTCTCCCGGCTGCGAGGCCGCCCCAGAGACGAAGGCGCCGGGCGCGGTGCGGAGACTGTGGGTGCTGCTGGGCAGCACGGACTCACTGCCCTCGGCCTCGGCGGCCCTGCGGGGACTCGGGGGCGTGAGGCTTATTGGAAGAGGACGATCGTTAACTTTTGTGTCTGTGTGTGTGTGTGTCAGTTTGTCTTGTTGAATTAAGACTATTTTGTCCTTTTGGAATGCGTCGCCCTTGCCCCGGGGCTCAGGAGGTTGGGGGCGACAGGGACTTTCCTCTGCCGGCAGCACCGAGAAGGAAGCGGCTAAAAGGGCCGGGGCCGGGGAGTTCCCCATTCGTTCTCGGGGGAGGAAGGGACTTTACACACACCCCTTACATGAAAGCTAGAACCGCACCCGGGCCAGGAGTGGCGTTTCCTCCCAGGATTTCCTAAATCTAGAGGGATTTAGTCTGGAGTAGAGACTTGTGTCCTTTTCTCTCCCTCCCCACCTTTCTCTTTCACTGAAGAAACGTCTGTACCCTGTGATTACTCTGGGAAAGGGGAATGTTAGCGGCCCATGTCTTCCCCACAGGGGAAAAAAAGCTTGATAAACTTCACAGGAAAGTTCAAGCTTGGAAATATGGAGTTTATAGAGAAGAGATATATTTTCAAAAGCTCTAGATCAGAACTACTACACAGTGCTTTTAAAAAAGTGTTTAATGAAACAAAGTTTACAGACAGAAGCCCTAAGTGGAATGACCTTCTGGGTTTGTATATATGGTGACTCCAGTCTTTGTTGTATAAAGGTTGGGGGAGCTGACAAGGTTTTTGTACAGTATTTTCTCCTTCGTTGTATTGATTTTTGTATAAAAATGTAACTTTACGTGTCTAACACGTATTAAATATTTTGAAGCAACTTCACTGCCTCCTTGTGTGTAATCACCTGTCTGGGTTGGGAGGGAAACAGGAGGGAGATCTATGGTCTGGGCTGGAAAATTGAAGGTGTGGTTTTTAATATCAGTCATGCACAGACTGGGGACATTGTCTGCTGACTTCACTAAGTATCAAGAGAAACACATTTAAGGTTTCTCCCCCCAGATCAGGGGACTGCTTTTAGATACTAATATCAGTGCCCTGCCAGTTTCTTGAGACCTGCTACTACAACTGTCTTTTCTCAAGTCAATTTAGACCAGTTTGGTTTTCTACAGCCCAATCTGATGGTGTCTAGTGTTAAATAACTTAAGTGCCAACTTTTGAAGCCACAAAAATGGTTCCCAGCCACAAAAATTGTTTTCTCTAAAACTACGTTTTCTGTTAAACTGTATAACATAGGTCATTTTTCAGCTTGCTTATTGAAAAAAATCTGACATATGAGGGAAGGTGAGACTGATTTGCCCAGCTGGTCAGGTCCACCTCTGCATTCCAGTGGATATCAGGATGGAATTTTCAATGCTTTTTTTCTTTTATTGTTATATCTGTAGAAAGTAAATGTATCAGTGAAAGGAAATTGTGTGACACTAGCTAAGGAAGGAGGGCTAGGCAAATTTGACTTATTTAGCAAAACTTCCTGATGTGCTTTTCTCACCCAAATGGTGACATCAGTGTTTGGGTCATGGTAAACATTTAGGTGATGACAGCTAAGTCATCCGTTGATCTTACTACAATTACTACATTTTAAGAGATTTTGTCTAAGGCAAAATGTTCAATATTTGAAAGGTATTCAATAATCTATTTCAGAAGCAAATCAATTAGAAAATGGTATCTTAAAATATGGTTGCTAGTACTTTAAAAAATGGTATTGGTCTATAACAGCTTATGAGTAAATAGGGTGTTTAAGAGATGGGAGAAATTGAGGGAAGATTAGACAAAGCTTTAAGTAAAGATTATGGACTTTGAGTGAAAGGAGCATATGAATGGTGCTTTGGCCTTCCTAAAGTCCTGATTATATGAACTGTCATAGCTGAGTAGGCCAATGCTTGGATATTTTTGCAACTGTATTAGTGATTCATTAAGCATAAGGAACTGGCTACTTTATGCTCCCTCACCATAATATATTCGTAGAATTAAACATTCTGTAATCAGAGTCTTGTTAAAATTGGTTTTCTTTCAGAGATTATCTCCTTAAGTTCCGTTACAGCCACAAGAGATCCATTGAGTGCTGACTACTTAAACTGAAAAAGGTGTCCAGGGCCTTAATTTTGCTAACATTTCATGTTGCTAGAAAGTAATTATTATGCTTGAACAGCTACCTCAGTGTGTTTTTATATTTGAAAAGGGGTAACATTTGGTGTGTTTAAGAGAGTTGATAGGTTTTGGATGAGACTAAAGTTCTGTTGATCGTTGTTTTCACATTAAGATGAACCATGGGGCCATGTGTCTGCTTAGAGAATGTAAATGGACGTATTTGATAGGGAAATACAGCTTTGTAGGAAATCAGAAAAGATCATTTTTGTTGCAGAATTGTTGCAGAAGCAGTATAGTGTAATGGTTAGAGCTTGGGCACTGGAGCCAGACTTGCTTGTTTTGTATCTTGGCTCTGCCCCTTATTTGCCAAGGGACCCTGGACAAGTTACTTCATCTCTCTGTGCCTCAGTTTTTTCAAATGTGAAATTGAGATAATTGTACCTACTTCATAGGGTTGTGAAAATTAATGAGTTACTGCCCTTAAAGTTCTTAGAGAAGGTACCTCATACATAGTAAGCACTCAATTGTCAGTTATTGTTGATGTAGAAGTGAATTCTGTTTATAAATCAGATATATTATGGTCAAAGAATTGTGTATATTTGTAAGAAAGGAGGGGAAGGGAGAATACATTTTTAAATTATCCTATCTGTGAATGGTGGGTTCTTTTATTCTTCTCTGGACACTTGGCAGTCACAAAACTTAGTTCCATCAGCATAGTTTTGCTGTTCTGTATGTCTTACACCAACCCTGTGACTTTCCTGATTGTATCAAACAACTCTATTTTCAGGGAGGAGTAAGTAGGAGTGAAAACACTCAAGGAGCAAAGATCTTGTTGACATACAGATGCTTTCTGTGGATGAGTAAAGGAAAAAAAATAGCACACAGAGTTATTTTTAGCCTGAATTGCTTGGGCATAGAATGTTTCTTAAGCTGTGTTAATTGATAGGTCCTGGAAAAGAGCCTTCCCAGTGCCAAGATGGGGTTATCACAAACAACTAAATCAGATTCAGTGTGACTACAAATGAAGCCGTAGTTGTAGCACCTGACCACTCGGAGGGACCTGTTCACTTGAGCAAATTAACCTTAGCTCTGGTCTGGAAAAACAAATTTGACTGCCATGTAAAAAACATATTTAAAGTACTTTTTGACAAGTACTCCAAGAAGACCACATTAGTAGTGAATAAAGGTAATAAGTTTTAGTACAGCGCTTCTCAACCATGTCGCTTTAAAGCTGTCTTTCCTCTCAGAAACCATTGATTATACTTGGGGAAAGGACCTAATGATGGAAAGCTTGAACTGCATGAAGGGACTGGATTTTCTCTAAGGCACCTAATGAAGTAGTAATAACCCTTCCATTCCTACCATTCATCACTGATTGGATTTTGGGATAAGAAGTGGAAGGGAATGGGCCATTTAACAACTTTGGTAGAATGCTTCTCAGAATAAAGATGTAGTAAATATTGGGAACAGAATTAATAATGACAAAACTGCTCCATTTTATCTCTGCATTAGTCTGAGTCGCTTACTTCAACTTGCTAGGCTTGACAACTCAGCTTAGAGCCTGTGAGATGGGGTCGAAAGGCTAATACCCACTGTGACAGAGTTTGATGGACATTTATTTCCTTATACTTTTTTTTTTAAGTAGAGTTAGTTCAGTTCACTGAATAACCAAAGAACTTCTGATCTCTTGCCCTAAATATTTTATTCTTGTCCTGTTTGTGAATTTTTTATTCTCCTAGGCTTGCTTTTATCCCAGCAGTTACTGAAAGAAGATGAGAATGAAAAGAAACAGTGATCCAACCCTCCTGTGACTATGAAAGAAGCCATTACTCTTAGGTGCAGAACTCCGGTGGGGAGTGAGGTCTGCTTCCCAGGATTCCTGGCACTCTTTCCAGTAATGAGCAGTTTGTCTCTCAGCCTTTGAACCATTGTTCAAATTTAAAATTCTACCCAGCGGAAAGCCTTGGGAGGAAAAACATAGTAGAAGCAGAGTTGATGTTAGGAATCATTGTGATCTTAACTCATGCCCTGGGAATTTTTCAGTAACAATTCTTGAGAATACAATAGAGAAGAGAATATGTGAGAGCAGAAAGTGTAAAAGGATACACACATCTAGTAGAATGCTTCCTTCCTGATCCAAACACAGTTTTTCCCAATGCCTGCCACAACCCCCTCCCCCAGCAGGAATGAGGGTTTTAAAAATAAAATCTCTCTCTAGCCATTGCCCTCTCCCAGAAGAATATAGCCCAAAGTGTCTTTGCTGGACTATATCCTGGGGTTTATCTCAGACCTTTGGAATCCTACAAGCAGGGAGGGAGAAGCCTCCAGGGACTGCATTCCTAAAAGGGCCTTTCTCTTCTCTCCTGACCAGCAGTGGCCTCCACCACTGGATGCTGCCCACTTATGGGCAGAAAGATGCTGCCCACTTATGGGCAGAAAGATGCTGCCCACTTATGGGCAGGTGAGAAAGAATATTGGCTATCAGCTTTTGAAAGCTACAGGAAGAAAGGCTGGTCCCTATCACTATTACTGAGCATCTCTAGCAGGTGATTCTCTTAGGGGATTGGCATAAATAAAGTAGGCCTGTGGTATTTGTTGGTAAATACTTATTTTATATAAAAAGTTTTCTGGGACATGGTCACAAGAAGCCCTTATGACTGTGTGATAACCCCTAACTTAAAAGGATTGAGGTGAGACTCAGCTGCCCCTTTTCCACCCATTTAGCACCAAGTCAGCCCTGGTCCCAGCCTTCTGCTTTCTTGCTATGAACTGGGCCTCTGCCAGACTTCCCCAGCCCAATTATTCCACTAGATGCCAAGGCAAGGCTCCTTTCAGTTTTTCTAGAATTCAGGGATATGCCAAAAGCCATGTGTTCCCTCTTGTTCTTTGACCCGTTCCATCTATCAAGTCTTGGGGCAGGGCAGCTGCTGGGAACTCTCTTTCTCTGAGGTAAAGGAGAACCATTCTATTCCCTCTGCTCAAAGCACTGAAGTTATTGCTGAGATGCAGGATTTCCTTTGGCTATTCCCCGTACTTGATCCCTTTCCTGAATCCGGGATACTACCCATGAGATTTTTTCTCCAAATTGATTCACATCTGCTTGGCTATTTCTTTCTAGCCAGTCACAGCATCATCTTTCCCTTTGCGGCATAGATTCTTCCATCAGTGCTGGAGTTGTTTTGTCTTTCCGTCTCTCTGTCTGGGTCTTTCTAAAACTCCCCTCCTTCTACTCTCTCCTGAAGACACATTCATTGTTTGCCTGGGAAAGAGTCTGAGTGCTCAGGGAAGAGCTGTGGTTGAGAATGCTACTGCTGGCTAAGAAGGAGCAGAGTTGCATTTCTTGACCTTGAGACTTGTAGAGTCTCCAGAGCCTCTGCGCCCTGGAGATCAAGCCATAGCTGTGGTAGCTGGTTGTCCAATTCTGATGCCTCACCAGACTCCCAATTCCGTCATAATAGTAGGGGTGGATATGGGAGTATCCATCCTAGAAACAGGAGCAGCCACTGAAAACCAGCTTGGCTTGTGGCCAGAGGGAGGAAAGGAGAGGCAAAGCCAGGGGAGCCCAAACGTGGGCTACACAGCATTTCCGCTCCTGCTTCCCTTTGCTAGAACTGTGTGTGCCACTTGCTAGAACAGAAAATGAATCACAGAGCTGCTCTGACGGAGAAATCCAAAATCACATCTTTGCCTTGTCTCCCCCGTCTAGACTTTGATTGATTAATAGAAATTTTTTA